TCTATATATTGCGGCACAGTAGCTGAGGTGTTTCCCACCTCTAGCTAACGTGTATAATGGTAATGATGATGTTCCTACGAAATACGTGAACATCCTGTTTGCTCTATACTCGAACACTATAGGCTACGTTAGGGTCTACGGTGATCTGTCGGATAGCTTTACGACCACAAGTCTCATTCGTTAGCGTTGTCCGATTTTCCCATTTTCGTCTAATTTCCTCGTGGATTCTATCGTAGAGTGTTCCCTTGCGGAATCTCGCGGTGTAGGCGTTGGAGTGCTGCCTGGTGAAGGATTAGTTGATCTGAATTATGCGGATGATATCATCTTGCTTTTCGACGATGTTGCGGCGACACTATCAACCATGAATAGCCTGTCTAGAGTGGTCCCATTATTTGGTATGCGTCTCACACCTCCGAAGTGCAAAGTGTTGCTGCAGGACCACCTGCCACCTTGACCCTTGCTAACGAGGAACTCGAGGTGGTTAATTAATCCATTTACCTTGGCAGCTGCATCAGCAACGATGGGCGCATAGAAACTTAGGTCAGCTCACGCATTTCATAGGCCAGAACTGCCTTCTTGTCCCTGCGGCATCTGTGACGACAGAAGAGAGTTTCCTTCCGTCTGAAAGGCCGTGTATACAAGGCCACAGGGAAGGCCGTTCTACTCTATACTGGTGAGACTTGGCCCCTTTGGTTTGAAGATCTGAGGCGCCTTCAACTTTTTGATCATCGTTGTCTGCGAAGCATTGCTGATATCGGATGGCACCAGCGTGTCCGCAGCGATGATGTGCGTAGGCGAATACTTGTTAGTGATAATCCTGCTAGCTCCTTAGAACAGCAGATAACACTGAATAAGTTGCGTTGGCTCGGGCACTACTTATGCCTTGTCACCACTTACTTAGGATGGTCCTTGGTTAGTCTGCCAGTTGCAGGGTGGCGCAAGGCTCGAGGTGGACAGAGATGGACTTTGCAACGGAAAATGAAGTTACTGACGACCAAACTTGGTGCCGTTGGTCTGTCTCCTCTTGCGGGCTGGAGTCCAGGGGACTCGCCTTGTGCTTGGCTCGAGACTTTACAGGACATGGCTCGTAACCAACTCCAGTGACGCGTCTGCTACCGTTTCCTAATTGGATTGCTGTTTAAAGTGTGTTTGGTGCTGAGTTATGTACGAGGCAATGGCTGGTTATGACGCGTGGCAGTGAAAGCCGCAAGGAAACTGTCTCGCCGATGCCACCTTATCTTTGCACGATAGCCAGCTGTTTGTGACGGTATGTTGTCTACACAAGGTGTAGGCGCCTTGACCCTGAATGTTTGCTTAGGGCACTAAGGTTTCCAGGTAAGTCCTCCTCCTCCCCTCTTATTATTCTTTTTCCATAAGTTATCATGGCTGTATGGCGGCGAGGCATCAGTTCAAATGGCTGCTGTACTATTGTTTTTGATGACGATTGATGTAACCATTGCTTCCAGCTTATACACGAAGATAAAAGTGATCAGCAGCGTCAGTTTGTGCGCATATTTTCTGCCAACCCCAAAGCCCTGTAAAGTCACGTCAACCGCCTTCGGCAAGTCAAACACGGTGTCACTACGCTGACAACACTTACAGGGCACATAAAATCAGCGAACGAGGCCGCAGAATTCCTGTACCAACATTACGCATCTGCTTTTTCCTTTCCATCAGTCTACACAATGACGCAACATTCTCTGTTCTCAGCTTCAACGTCCGTGACAACTGTTCGGTTCAATCCGGAGAAGGTCCTGGTAAGCTTAAATCCCTGCGAGCAACGTCCTCCCCAGGCGCAGACGATTTACATCCAAGACTCTTGCGATCTTGCGTTACAGCGGAGCGGTTCACCCATTTCCTCCCGCATGGTGTAGTCCCCAACGACTGGAAATGCGGTACAATTACACCAATCTACAAAGGCGGCATGCGTAAAGACGCTTTCAACTACTAACCGATAATACTCCTCTCTGCACTTTCCGGAGTGATGGAATCAATCATCGCCGGTGCCTTAATGGACCACATTGGGGCTCAGATACTGCTTTCCGACTGCCAGCACGGCTTTCGACGATAATGGTCATGCCTGAGTAACCAGTGGCTTTATTGTAATGAACTGTTCTCAAACGAACTGCGAGATATCTCTTCTCAACGGTACGTGGTTAACCACTAGTGTCACACTCAAGCCGACATAGCTAAAATGTCTTATCGTTAGGCCATAAATTTTGTATTCCGTGTAGAACAAGTGATCAGACGGCTTTAGAAGTGCAGTTGGAGAGCCTACTGGCCTAAACGAGAGACTTAGTTCCAATTTCGTCTAGCAGTGTTGAGAATTTGATGTTTAATCTAGTTTATAGTTGTCACGAATACGCGAGGGCTAAACCCGCCAACAACAGTATTACTAGTAGAGGGCCGAAACGGCTAAACAAGGAACTAATCATCTCTAAACCAGACAAAGGTTCCGGCGTAGTTCTACTGGATAAGGCTGATTATCTCAGTATGATGCACCACTTAGTGATGAATGTAAGTTGCAAAAGCTAACCTCGAGAAGAGATAACACAGTTGAATTAGAAACACAGATAACTGGCTATCTCAGGCGAATGATGCAGTCAAATCTCATCACAAAGATTGAGGCTAAAAAGTTGAAACCTTCAGGCTGTCACCTTCTAAGACTATACGTCCTACCGAAAGTTCATAAGGAAGGCGCCTCAATGCGTCCAATATTGAACAAGATCGGTTCTCCACAGCAGCTGCTAGCCAAATGGATGGTGGAAAAATTGTGGCCATTGCGGAAAATGGTTTGCACTTACTATGTGAGAGATTCCTTCGAATTCCTTGAGAAGATAAATAACCTCAACCTTACAGACAAAAGGATGGTATCGTTTGATGTCCAGTCACTGTTTACCAACATTCCATTGCGCGAAACAATGGACTATGTGTGCGAATTGGCCCAATGGCACATGCAAGCGGCTTTTCCGGGAAGTTTACTCCGTGTGGTGTTACTACGTTGCACCTTAAACGTACAGTTCACATTTTTGGCGAAATGTACCGCCAGATTTGATTGATTGGACATGGGATCCCCCTTGGGGCCTCTTTTGTATTATCTCTTTCTGGCAAAGCTAGAACATGGCCCATTACGAACATATATCAACGGAGTCGCAATGTACGTACGATACGTGGATGACACGTTCATACTTTGCAAGTTGGAAGAGCAAGCCATGCGGTTGCTGGAAGTCTTCCAAGTCCAACTCCATGTTCACGTGGTGCTGTGGTGGTGTTCCCCACCCAGTAGAATGTGTAACCCGCACCAGCTTTAGCGGCCCAGTTTCGTTGAGTGCTGCACTGTCGATCCCGTAGTACTGTGCGTCGCTCGGGGGGCTCACTCTTGTTCCGGTCGAGCAGCGTGCGCACGTTCCAGCACCCGATATTGAGTGCTTTGCGCGGAGGCATACGATTGCTGTGGCGGACGACCGCACGAGTGGTGACCTGTATTGGAAGAAGTAGGGGATTAGGTGAAATGCAACCTGAAAGTTATGTGCAAGGGAAGAAGAATAACGAAGTTCGTCGTCAGTGATTGCATGTTTCCTCTTTCCACCTCGTTATATGCAGCAGGTAAAGCGGCGCTTTTCCTACTGGCACTGCGCTTCGGCCGATGCACCATGTGATTATTATTGACGTGATACATGGTTAATCGTTGAACTGGAATGCTGCCATAGCATCCGCACCTGACAGGATAACGACTCGTATCCTCACCTAAAGCCTTTGATCAAATGTACGCCCGAAAGGCGGTAGGCCGTTCTCCATACATCTGTGAACCGACTCAGGCGGAATTGTGTCCTGGCTCTCAGTTGGAAAATGAGTGTAACCCAACTCTCACCCAGCGGTCGTCACGAAGAAGCGTCCAGGACATATATCCACGGCGCGGGTTCGAGCCTCCCTAAGGACCGGGCGACTCTCGCTGTATCTTTAGCCCACGTGCGGCTGGTGGTGGTTGCACTGCAACGAATCGTGGGCACTGCGTATCGGCTTACTGCTGATGTCTTTACTTGCTAGGATCTCGCCACCACAAGCCTCAGCGCGCCATGAGTTTTCTCGCCAACTGTCTATACAATTGACAGAGAGCCATGAAATTTATGCGCATAATAAGTGTAGAGATCACAAAATGGGAAACAGATGGTTAGTTTTTGTATTTTTCATGCGCTTTTAGAGATAATTCATCACGGTCCACTTTGTCAGCAGCCTTTGGCTAGTCTGGAAGAGCATGATTTTTGTTAGTTTAGTTATTACGATTGTTATACGTAGAATCATTGCAAAAATTCGTTTACATCTTCCATTGTCCCTGATTCCGCGCAATGCCCACAATACTCTGACACCAGCTGTGTTCTCCATCTTTGCACGCGGGTGCATAAAGCCTACTTTGACTTGACTTGACTTATATATTTAAAAATCAATCGCATCGAACACCATTTCATTTTTAGTGACTTATTTGCATTACACATTTCTGTGTCCTCTGAAGATCTTACAATGTTTGCTTTGCTCCATACGATCTGAAAGACGGAACATTGTTTAACACCAGTATTCATCGCAGCTATTTATGCTTTGCTACAACCCATCATCACTGACGAGGTTGCTGTTACGTACGAATTGTATTTGGCCCCTCAGATGACGAACTATTATATCATGCAGGCTCGCTTCTCTTCCTCATTGTGCCGGTGGTGCGTGTTACGCACAGCAGTTTGGGCATTGAGTTGTCCGGTATGAGCTGAGGTTGGTCAAGCTATGCTCATAGTGTTTCTAAAGGTTGACGCAGACACTCCTGTTTCATTGATACAACTAAAATGTACACAATTTCGTTTTCGCTGAATGCATCCTTTTATATTTATACCCGTAGACAACCTTCTACTCCGGTTTAATGCATTTCTCTCGCTGCATCATTTGTCTCCCGATTCACTGCGAATATACGGTAAAATTCGTTTCAGACATTTGAATTTACTCTCTACGCCTAAATGATGCGGCCTATTGCTATGTACCTTGCGACTGTCCGGACCTTTCATGCTTGCACAGTCATGAATTCCGGCGGTCTCTTCAGAGCGAAGTTGGTTGTGCTCTGATTTCCTTCAACTTGTATAGGCGCAGTTTGCCCGTAAACAACAACGAATGGGGACCTCTAACGGATTTGCCCGATTTTACCTTGTTGGGTGAGTTTACACCTATTTCCAATTGTGTCCTTTTCCCACAGATAGGCCCAGTCCTCGTTTCACCAGCGAGGGTCAACGTAGACGTGCCATCCGGAATTATGAGGCTACGGTAAATTTGGATGTTCATTCTCTTAATGATACGGATCCACAGACTTCAATAATGCGCCTTACTGCGGAACTCTCCCGGACCAAGGCGAAATCAGAGAATGATAAGGTGCAACAAGAAATGTTGACAAGGAAAGCCGAGCAATCTTGTTTACGGTCGAAAGGGACCTTTGCGCAGTCTTTCGAACATATAAAAAGTGATCTTTGTGGACGCGAACAGAGCACCTAGTGTCGTCTATTTTATCTTTATTACCCTCACATATTCTTAGTGTATATTAATACCGGTAAATTGAGTCAGGAGTGTATTTTCTCTTTCCATGCATGGGATCTGAGCATCGGACATATCAGCGGTTAGGGACCTTATCCAATATGACTCAGTCGCAGAGCCAGTGCTGCTGTTCTATTTCAAGTCAAGTCAAAATAGGCTTTATACACCCATGTGGTGCATTCTATCACTGTGGATGCACTGGATGGTGGGAGCGATCAAAATATATGCCGCAGATTAAGGAGTTAAATAGAAGAAGGTGTACACGTGTCGCTCAAGGAGCCACATTCGTACAGTATCTTTGACTTTCTTTGGATCGACGAGGAAACGTGACGAATGTGGTAAGAATGTGTTACGGTACGACGATGTTCGGGAGGATAAAACCTTAAATTTTTAGCTCGTGTAAGAGACAGACAACGTTTCTGGGAAATCATTATGTAGCGGCTGAAAGCGGACACTTAGGGCCTTAGAAGAGAATTCGTGCAAGTGTCAAAGTGTTTACGATTTAAAAACATTGACTAGGGAATCGCTACTTAAGCTGTTACATCCGAAAATATGTTTGATTAAGCGCACAACCAAAACATGGTCTATTTGCAGAAGTCCATGGAAAATTACCGGGAAGTAGTACTACCAGTGGGGTAGTATACATACAGTTACATATCTCCAAATTAAACTTCACAGCACGGAAAGTTTCTTAAGTTTAAAAGCATAAAAATATGATCTTCCTACTTTGCGAAATGTTTCAAAAACATGCATGGTCCAAGAGTGCTTTTAGGACAATTGGACACCGAGGTACTTGACAGTGGACGAACTAGGCATACTGTTGTCAATCAGAGTTACTGGAAGTGAGGCATCTAAGGTTATTCGCGACTTATCAGGACGGGAAAATGCAAATGTTATATCTGTCTTATTGAGAGCATAACGGTTAAGGGATCTGAATGATGACCAACTCACAGGTTTGTCTAACTACACTGAAACGTAGGGGACATCTCAATGAAGGGAATCCTGTACCCTAAGACGACATCGGCAGCATATTTACATCCAGTAAATGTTGATGGTATAGGGTGACTTTTGACATATCAAGGAAACAGGAAGAGTGAGAAGATTGCGCCTGCAAAACACCCCAGTCAGCGTGGAGCATAGAGGTTTTTGCCGTTACACTGGGTGAAGTGCATATGATCAGTAAATTTTCATACAACAAGTTGCAAACAACAGGGTGAACACTGTTCAAATATATTGGGTTGAGCAGTACAGATCGGTCAGTACTCCCGAGAGCACTTGAATAACCAGGAAAAAGAAGCCGTTAAATACTTGCACTTTTATCCAACTCAGACGCTATTGAATGCACAAGGTATGGAGACAGCATCTAGCACAATGCGCTTGCATCTAAAGGCAAAGTGATAGAGATCGTCAACCTGAGTAGCCATGGAAATCCGCGGGACTAGTAGCTTTTCGATTACTTTTAAAAGCATGAGAGTACAAACAATTCGACTATACTTTTGAGATTTCTTTTTCGGTACTAGCGTTAGTCTTGCGGATCTCAAGAAATCCGGATGACACCGGTCGTGAGACACTTGTTGCAAACCTTATTTAAGGCAATCTAATGGAATTGGCGAACCACTTCGATACTACCGGTGATAACGCATCATCACCATTACCTATATTTGGCTTAATCTTCTAAATTCCCTGTCGACATCACCTTCCTCAGGTAGGGATGCTGAGCCTGGGCTACTGAAGGAAAACAATGAAAACTGCTCGACAGGGCGGAGCTGAACTCAGCATCTGCACTGTGGCCGGGATGTGTCTACCGATTGTCATCGACGCACTGCTAATTGCCGCACATTGCACGCCCTGCGAAAACCCCGAGGAATTCTAACGGCAGTCTGGAGATCCAATCGGACCTCACACGATGCACTACGCACCAAGTGCCGCGTCTGCGTACCGCAATTTGCACAGTGCTTCACGCGATGAGGCGCAGACTAGGGATACTTGAACGATCGATACATTCTGGTCAGTGTTTTTGGACAAAATGTTTCGCAGAAAACTGGATGCCTGTGGCCCCTGTACTAACCGATATTTCGCTGTAGCACTGAAGTTACCGTTACGTACAGGGTCTACTGTGGTATAGAGTTGGACATCGCGTTGGCGGACGAACGTACAGGTGGTGCACAACGGCTGCTATTTCATCGCAGCTATGTTCCCATTAAAGTAGACAGACTGACGTACATGTGAGAAATAAGTTTTCGAATAGTAACGACTTGGTAGTATTTTGCTTTCCTGTTAAATGAGCCAGCTTCTCTCTGGAATTTCTCTGCTAAATAACCTACACTTAAAGCTTACCCGGTCGTTGCAGTTCAGTTTGGGCTGATCTCCTGTGGTGACGGATTACAACTTCCAGATTATAAAAGACGTTATCTATGCAAGGCAAATTGCCACCAACTGACTGGCGTGTAAAAAAGTGCCATAATAGAATGATCCGCATGACGGACTGGGCTGAGCCTTCATGGCCCATAATACATGTTCAAAAGCAGCTCTAAAAAGAACAAAACACATGATATACAGGTGATGGCTCATCTGCTACTATGCCGCACCGGCACACGGCCAGTTATTGCATGGAAGTGCCAGCGAAATCTTTCGAGGGAATACCTTGCATGGAAGCAGGTCCCCTGGGGATGGTTCCACGAGTGGCCGTATTACTTACTTTAAAACTGCTTACGTGATTGTTCCTGCTTTTTAATTTCTTTAATGCCTTAATCCTGCAAATTAGTTTAGTACCTGTTTTGGATCCATTGTAGAAAGCGTGAACAAATTGATTATTTTTTGCGATCCTGTTGTACACATTGATCAGACCACATAGTTGGACTGCACCTCGAATCACCGAGGAATATACCATTTATTTATTTATAGTTTAGTGCAGTTGATAAATCATGATCCGGGCACCAAAGTGCTGTGGATGCAGTTGCCACGAGTCGCGTCGCCAAGGTGGCAAAAATGAAGAATGGTTAGTAAATGTGGTTAGACTTAAATATGGTATTAGCAGAATGGAAGCAAGAACGAGGTGCATGAAGCTAATCGCATTGAAATATGAACATCTACACGCAAGAGAACGAATCCAGAGGCAGCACTGACTCCGACAATGTGCCACGTCCGGTAGAGTCTCTAACCATTGGTTTGGACTAGCACGAGGCCCCCATCTCCGGAGACGGCACGTACCTGCTTGACCAAGTCTCTCGGTCAATTTCAGAGTGAAGCGTGCGGAATTTACCGTAGTTTTATCAAGGCTTCATTATTATATTTACTATTAACTGCATCAAAGGTGTATTAATATGAGAATGCAGGTAACCCCAATGTATCAGTTCTGTATTAGTGAGCAATCTGAGAGCGCACAGTCGACATCACTTTATGTTAAATTTTAATTTTTCTACACGGAAATACGTTTAACAGCTTACCGGGTTGTTCTCGTTTTTTATAGATTAAAAGTAAACACTAGTATCTGGTGTAGTCTTCTCTTGATTGTAACGGCGGTCACAACGGTTAACGCGCTCGCAGCTGGGATCCGAGTGTGAATTCGCAACCTCACTCACCAAGCAATTAGTGCAGTATGTTGTCGTTTGCGCGAAACATTTTATCTAATTTTGTGGGTGAGTGGCATACCGCCCAGAGATTCTCATCATCTCACCCACAACTTCAGTTCCTGAGAACGATTGTTATTGATTTGTGGTGTATGCGATCAAACACGTACCAGCGTCACAGCAAGGTACGCATTCAACCTCCTCTGAGGTATGTGCACTTTGTCCTAACAATGGCACGTATAGATGCACGGTGGAACAAGCAAAATTTATGCAGTATAGTGAATCTACCCAGCTAAAAGAACGTAACTCAACACACCGGGGCCAGTAGGTACACAATCCAACTTCACGGGTTTACCTTTCCTTGCAAGAACGCAATCTTCGTCGGTTTCGTACACTCCAGGTTCAGGTTTGTAATCCAAACGATCCGGATAAACGCAATACATTTTGCCGTTGATTTTTGGATCACATGTGCATTCACTCCGTAATGTTTACGGATGAGTCCGTTTTCCATTTGCATGGAACGGACAAACAACATTTCTGGGTTACTTCAAATCCACGCAGCTACACAATGTCATGTATTCAGCATAGCGCTAAGCTGATGATCTGGTGTGGAATTACCGATCAGCAAATCTCTGGACCATTTTTGTTTTCCAGGAACGTGATCGGTAAGTTGTTTTATATTCCTCAACCCTTACTTTTGCTAGCGTCATCGTACAAGGAATTGCTCCAGTCTTGCGTACTGCCACAGTTGGAGGCGGATGGAGTTCGCAGCACCATATGTTTGCAGCATGATGGTGCACCAGCACATTATGCTCAATCTGTGCGAGAATATCTCTGCAAGGAATTCGGCCGACGTTGGATCTGTCGTGGAGGCCCCATCGAGTGGCCCCCATGGTCACCCGATTTAAACCCGCTGGATATTTTTCTCTGGGGATATTTGCAACGACGGGTTTGCAGAAACAAACCGATTTCCCTCGAGCAATTACAGCAGAATATTGTGAATGAATGACACGCTATCACACAGTGAGGTTGCAGAAAGTCCTTGCTAACTGCATCAAACGATTTCTGTACTGTTGTCAGAATGCAGGTGGCCACTTTCAAGATCTCCTTCTATGATATCTATGTCCGTCTAACCCTGCTTCTCTAAATATATGTATCAAGAATCTATTGCACGCGAAGTTAATTTTATATGCATTGTCTGCTTATTCAGCAGTCTGCGCCAGTCCGAACGCCGTGATAATTTGGGCGTATCCGATGCGTATATTAGAGCCTACGTATTGGAGCCATTGGTACAAATGTTCTTCAATCCACACCGGAGCTGTAAGTAAGAGGTTATTGGGGGCTCCGCTACGTCGTTTATAGACAAATTAGGTATCGGTCATGGTGCTATTGCACACTGAGCTTCTTGCTTGTAGCAGTGGTCTCCTTTTGGGTACGGTACAGTTTGCCGATCCGTATCA